ATAAAGCACTGTGGACTGACTATGTGTTTGGTTCTCCTCTAGATTCCAGTATGTCCTTGTAGCCTACTGTACATGACTGACAAATTTCCCTTGATTTCTTCTTCCCACAAAAAAAATCCTCTTATAGGCCGACAATGCAAACAATTCCAGAGAAGAAAAGAGCACCCAGTCTCCACTCACACAAGAAGGGTATTTCTCTGTCTGGAATTTGATACTTCTGGAGCTTTTTGTGACATCAATCTTTGACATATATTTTTAAAAATCAGCTTTACTGAGATATAATTGACATCCCATAAAATTTACCTTTTTCAGGGGTACAATTTGGTGTTTTTTGTATATTCTCATTGCACTCACTATACATCATTCATTGTACAAGTACTCATTACCCCTCACTGTAATTACTACTATCTAATTTCAGAACATTTTTATCACCCCAAAACAAATCCTATACCTATTAGCAATCAATCCTCTCTCCAATCCTAGCAATCACTATTCTACTTTCTGTCTCTACGGGTTTGTTGATTCTGGACGTTTCATGTAAATGGAATCATATAATATTGACATTTTGTGTCTGGCTTCTTTCAGTTTACAGTGTTCCAAGGTTGATCCATGCTGTATATTTAATTCCTTTTTATGGAAGAGTACTATTCTATTGTATGATTATACCACATTTTGTTTAGCTATGCATCAGTTGATGAACATTTAGGTAGTTTCTACTTTTTGGCTATTATGAATAGTGCTGCTACGAACACTGGTGTGGTGCTTTTGTGTGGACATATGTTTTCAATTCTCTTGGGTACATACCTAGGAAAAGAATTGCTGCATCATATGGTAACTCTATGTTTAACCTTATGAGGAACTGCCAGTTTTCCACAGCAGCTGCACCATTTTACATTCCCACTAGAAATGTATCAGGATTCCCATTTCTCCATGTTATTTTTTTATTATAGCCAATTCTAGTGTTTATAGTTTTGACTTGCATTTCCCTACTGATGAATCGGGTTGAACATCTTCACATGCATTTATTGGTCATGTTTCTACCTTCTTTGAATATATATCTCTTCAAATTCTTGGCCCATTTTTTAAAATTGGGTTGTTCTTCTATTATTGAGTTGTAAAAGTCCGTTACATATCTTGATTATATTTCTCTTATCAGATACTTGATTTGAAAATATTTTCTCACATTATGTAGATTGTTACTTTCTTAAGAGATTCATCTGTAGCACAAAAGTTTATAATTTTGATGAAGTCCTTTTATCTATTTTTTATTTTTCCCTTGTATTTTTGGTGTCACTTTTAAGAAACCCTTATCTAGTCCAAGATCACAAAGACTTACTCCTATGTTTTCTTCCATAAGTTTCAGAGTTTTAGCTCTTACATTAGGTGTCTGATTCATTTTGAGTTAATTTTTATGTATGGTGTCAGCTAAGGGTCCAGCTTCACATGGATATCCAATAGTCTCAGCATCATTTGTTGAAAAGACGATTCTTTACCACTAAATTATCTTAGTTCCTTTATCAAAAAGCAATTGATAGTAAATGTGATGGCTTATTTCTTGATTCTCTTTTTTCTTTTATTAAACTTATTAGGGTGACAAGCTTAGTAAAATTATATAGGTTTCAAGTGCACAATTCTCTAATACATCATTTATATACTGCATTGTGTGTTCATTACCTAAAGTCAATTTTCCTTCCATCACCATATATTTGACCATTAAACTACTGTCTGTGACTATGAGTTTTTATTTGTTGCTTTCAGTTTTATATCCCACATATGAGTGAAATCATATGGTTCTCGAATTTTTCTCTCTGACTTATTTTGCTTAGCATGATTCTCAATTCTATTCATTGATCTACATGTCTATCCTCATGCCAGTATTCCACTGCCTTGATTACTATTGTTTTGTCATAAATTTTGAAATCAGGAAGTATGAGTCCTTCACCTTTGTTCTTCTTTTCCAAGATTGTTTTGGCCACTCTGTGTCCCTTGAATTTCCATATCAATAATTTCCATATGAATTCTAGGATCTGCTTGTCAATCTCCGTACAGAGGGTAGCCTGGAATTTTGACTAAGATTATAGTGAATCTGTAGATGATTTTGAGAAATATTGTCATCTAACAATATTATCTTCTGATCTATGTACATGGGATATAACTCCATGTATTTAGATTTTCTTTAGTTTCTTTCAATAATGTTTTATAGTTTTCAGGGTTTAAGTTTTATATTACTTTTGGTAAATTTATTTGCAAGTATTTAATTCTTTTTGATGCTATTATAAATGAAATGTTTTCCTTAATTTCTCTTTTAAATTGTTCATTGTTACTGTGAGTTGATTTTTTTTTTACTTTATTGGGGAACAATGTGTTTTTTTGGGGGAACAATATGTGTTTTCCAGGACCCATCAGCTCCAAGTCAAATTGTTGTCCTTCAATCTTAGTTGTGGAGGGTGCAAGCTCAGCTCCAAGTCCAGTCATTGTCTTCAATCTAGCTGCGGAGGGCACAGCTCACTGGCCCATGTGGGAATCGAACCCGCAACTCTGTTGCTCAGAGCACGGTGTCTAACCAACTGAGCCACCTGGCCACCCGTGAATTGGTTTTGATATTTGATATTTATTCTGCAAGCCTGCTGAATGTGTTTATTTGCCCAACAGTTTTTTAGTGGTTCCTTTAAATTTTCTACATATGTAACATCATGTCATCTGCAGAAAGACACAGTTTTATTTCTTCCTTAAAATATGGGGGCATTTTTTTATTTTTCCATTTCTTGCCTAACTCCCCTGGCTAGAACCTCCAGTGTACAAACTACCAAATAGAACTAGTGAGAACAGGTATCCTTGTCTTGTCCTGATCTTGGGGGAAAGCATCCAGTCTTTCACCATCAACTATGTTAGCTGTGGAATTTGATAATTTCAACCAATTATCAGGTTAAAGAAGTTTGAAAATCCAAGACAGAAAGAAGAAATACAAAGAGCAGAGTAAAAGAAAGAGGAAGTAAAAACATATGGAAAGCGCGCAGGACAGTGAAATGACTAAATTGTATAATCAAGGGGAGGGGATAAATGATAGAAAAAAGAATTCTAAAAGAACTCTGAAAGGAATTCATAAGAAATAGATTCTGAAACATTCTGTCATTAGTTAAGTATACGCTTTTGGCAAAACGTAAAAATTCTGTGTGCCTTGGATTTGTTGATTATAAAAAGAAAGTAAGGGCATTCACTTTATAAAGTACCTATTATGTACTTTTATATACATATCTTTATGTATTTTGTGTGAAGCACTGATGTTCTAAAGAGATAATATACTTTTTTACACTTCATTTACTTTTTGGCATTATATTTCCATATGCTATAAAAGAAATCAAACAGGGAAGTAGTGAAACGGAAGGAAATGAGATAGGGACAGGTAGAAAGAAAAGAAAAAATACAGAAAGGGAATGAGTAAGAAATGAAGGAAGATAAGAAAGGTTAGAAAAAAATCAGGTATGAAGAAAATAGACAAAGTAAATAAGGAGAGAGACGAAGAAAAAAGTTCAAGAAGGACAAAGGGAAGGAAGCAACAACAGCAGGAATGTGAAAGCCACATCTTCCCAAATAACTGCTGAAGAGCCAGAAAGTGGACATGGTAGAGGAGGAAAGGAAGTATCTCAGGAGTTCTCTTTATTGATGATGATAAGGTCTTTTAATATGAAACATATTTCACCAAAAGTAAAGTAGGACCCTCTTTGAGGACCACTTAATTCTGAAGTGAAAAGATAAATATACCTGAAAGAATTTCCAAATGTTAGAAAATTAAATCATTTTCATCCACAAAGGATTCTACTGTAATCTTTTTCCTAGATACTGTGGGAGTCAAAAAATGTGAGTTGTGTTCTTGTCTCTATCATCACAACTATAGTTCTGGATCTTCAGTTTCCTAATCTATAAAATAAGGAATTTCCATTAGACTAATTCCTAAAGCCTCTTTCAGTTCTAACATCATAATACCAAAAAGTAAATGAAGTGTAAATAAATAAATAAAGCTAATAAATAAAAACTTATTTAAGAAATGAATACTACTACCAAAAAAATAATACAAGAGGGCTTGATATATAATTCAAAGGAAAGAAATATCAATTCAAATACCAGAAAAATTTGAGAAAAATAAAATCCCCATGTCCACTTAAAGTATCTATCACCCTCTAGGTGGTAAATGTATTACAAAAATCATGATTTTGTCCTAGCAGTAACATTTATTGGAGAACAGTAGGAATTTATTTTCCAAAAGAGTGAGACTACAACATCTGAAAAACAGACCAGCAGGAAGACTAAGACACTTGTTCATCTGTATTTCTGCGACTTTTCTCACTTGGTTTATTTGCAACTGTACTTTTATGTCTGGCGGCAGTGCCAACTTCAGTACGAATGATATATTATTTTTATCATGTTGATTACATATGTTCACCAGTTTAGTTGTCCATATATGCTTGGTGTGGTTTGCAAATACTCGGTGACAAAATCCAGAGCATGGCATTTCCACAGAAAGTGTTTACTGTGAAATTTCTCCTTAGAAGTTTGCTTTTCTTTACAGCTTTGATCCATATGACATCCACCGTCCTACATTTCAAATAATGGCTTACAGTTAAATTAAGAAATGCTTCAATTTGATACAACATGACTACAGTAGGATGTGGTAGTCCTAGAGAGGACCTCATTTTCTTATGTGATTAGAGATTTGGTCAAATTTAAAGTCTGCTAAAATTTTCCAAATTGCGCTTCTTCAGTTTTATGGTGACTTGGTACTTACATTCTGTTATTCATCAACACTTCACAGAAATACTTGATTTGTCTGAATGAATTTAAAAACCCACAAGTGAAGAAAATCAGAAAAACCTGGTATTAAATATCAAAAGTTCCTGAACGAAAAGTATTTCTACAGGCCACACTAAGCAAGTTTCATTGATCAGTGTACTTCTTTGCAGGAAGAAACTGCTGCAAGATTGAACATAAGAAAATAAACTTACTGGTAAATATCTTTCCTGAGGACAGATCTGCCAAGGGGATTGTCAGCCTGTGGAGCCATAGCAACTGAGCCAATCTTTAAAACCATGGTGTCTTCTTTTGCTGCCTGATTAACTGTAACAAAAGAAATAGATTTTAAGGTATACAGTGGAATTGTGCGTAACTTCATTTGCACAGAGAAATCTTTGAGTAAAGGGGTAGAGATACATTAAAATAAGACCAATAAATAAGGACAAGAAAAAATTCTGTTTAAAATAAAAATATTTGATGCTTTTCTTAACTATTTCTTCTATATCCCACTAAGTAGTTTCCTGCTATACACAATTAAAATGGTGATAAAAAAAACCTCCAAACAGTAAAACATATAATATTAAACATACACAAGCAGTACTAAAGCAGTATGTTTATCTAGTTCTTTATGAAGTGATTTTCAGCCCTTGGTTTTTAACACTGCATTGTTGTCTACAAATATATAAAAGGATACCATAAAGTTAGTAACAAATTCTTGAAGCCATTTCAATTTACATGATTAATAATAATTAAACACACACTCAAGCAAACACACTCACACAGGTAAAGCACTATTATTAGCTGTAAAATGTCACAAAATCTTAAAAGAAACATAATGGCTGCAATGCTGAAGAAGAAAACAAAACAAAACAAGCAATTGTTTAATATATGAGGACATTTCAACTTGTTATTCTAGGCACTTTTTAATTTTAATAATTACTACTGTGAAATTGCTTGAGAAATAGTAATTTCACACCTATGTAATAGTTCTACCTCCTAATAGAATCTAAAATTGAAGTAAATATCTCAGCAAACTTAAAAGGTAAAAAGATATATCAATTCTGATTCTTTCCTTTGAGCTAAATAAAATAATATTTTACCATATGGTCTCATCTTATAAAGTTCAACAATTTTTCTATAAATCACCAACTAATTCAAAGTCTTTTCTCAGGACTGTTTGAAACAGATAAGGATTCTTGATGGCCTTATTTATATTAAATTTTACTCTCTTTTTTCCAACAGATTATTCTACTGTAGTAGCTATTTAAAAATTGTTTGAAAATGTTTAAAAATTGTTAAAAATATACAACTTTCTGGGTTTTGAAGAAAAGATATACTAAAACTCATAATTTCTCTCAGGGAGCGATCACAGAACAGAAAAGGACTGGCGGCAAGACCTCAGGAATATCCTGAGCAGAACATGCCAGGAAAGGCATACAATCCATATTTCCCAAACTGTGGTGCTCAGAGAATGCAAAAGCTGAGAGATTATTTCCAGCTGCTTCAGCAGTACGCTCAGTATGGTCTGACTTAGATTAGTCTAAAAAAGAGAATCAGAATTAAGAAAATCATAAAAAGTAAGAAGAAAGATATTCAGGGAGGAAAAGAGGGAAACACAATAAGATGTACATAAAGGGAGTGGCAAATGGAAGTCGAGTGGAGGGAAGAAGGACAGCAAAATGGGGGAGAAGAGATGAGCTATCATACTAAATATTAGCATATGGGTGCCACCAATACAGACAGTACTTTTAAATGTCCACAGCAAAAAGATCAAATAGAAAACTACTTCTCATGCAGCTGCACTATTTTCAAATGACTACAGGTCTGTCTTTATTATAGGTCCTCATACTATGAACATTGTTTACATTTCACAGATCTTGCATTTTACACCAAGCTTATCAAATAGTTCCATGTGGGTAAAACCTCTGATTAAGCAGCAGGCTTCAATTAAAACAATAAATACGAAGTCTGCAGAATAGACCATACCACAAAAGTACAATCAGTGTACTTGCTAACTGTTCTTCCAGGCTACAGATACTACCCACCATAAGAAAGTCTGAAATGTAATAGAAACACTGCAGTAAATGAGGCACATATGGAAGAAAAATGACGTACTTGGTGTTACATATAAAGTCAGATCCAAGAACAGAATTCTGTTTCTGTTAGAGCCAAAAGTGTTCTCACTAGATTATACTGACTATGAAGTTATAATAAAAAAAAGCACTTAATACAAATCATCCACAAACTAAACAAAAATAATCAATTTTATTATAGAAAGTATTTGCTTATCAAATAGTATCTTTGAGATACAAGAAAAAATAACAAAAATATGTATTTATACAAGAAAGTGCCTTGAGTCATTTCTTCAATTACTTTATAGCTGGAAAAAATAAGCTTCCCTTTTTTGTTTTTTTTCACCTGCATTTAATAGTTGGACCATATGAGGAAATGTTCCCTCTAGAAGCATTTTCAACATTAAAATGAATGCCTTCCTTCTTTTCTTTAACTGTATTTTTCAAAATTGAGCCTCATGAGAAACTACTAACTAGAAGACTCATACAAGATCCAAAAACAGTCCTCCATTCTGAAATAAATAGCTTAAGCTGGAAGTCAAACACCTGTAGATTCAGAATCTTGATAATAATTGCACATAATGCAAACAATATTTGAGTTGAAAACCAGACTTTCAATACTACTTCTTTAAATAAAAGAGTGGAATGTTAAATATATTTTTCGTATCATTATTAACTGAATTTTACACATGAACTATTAAAGCTTTTATATTCAATGTAACATAAAATGTAACTCAAAGATTTTATCTTTTCTTGGGGCAAGAGCCTGTGTATTGAAAAAGTAAAGGCTATGAACAACTATGAAATTGTGAGCTTGTATAAGTAACCAGAAGCTTAAATAAAGAGTGGAATATTCATGCAATTGCCAGATAACAGTAAGACTTGCCTTTAATTAAGTTTTCTTAAATCCAACATGAAATGAAAGTGTTTTGGAGACAACTTTCCTTTAAGATTCTCAATACAGTAAAACATCTAAAGCCTGAATAGTGTTTGAACTTGCCACTGCAGTACTGTACTTTTATAAAGCCATAACTGTAATGATAGGCCTACACAAAGCTATCAACAAAAAGTTTTATTGGGACTTCTGCGGGACCCAGGAATCCTGAAACCTTGGATTATCCATATATGCTATGAGACATGCTTTAGATGTTTTTTTTCTGGAAGCCCTGCAGCTACCCTAAAAAGTGAATGTATTGTAGAACAGACCTATGGCCAATGGTGGCAGAGTCTACATAGAACTATGCTTCGTGGTGTTCTGGGAAAAACCTTTCGACTTATTGGCTATACTATTCAGTATGGGTGTATAGCTCATTGTGCTTTTGAATACGTTGGTGGTGTTGTCATGTGTTCTGGACCATCAATGGAACCTACAATTCAAAATTCAGATATTGTCTTTGCAGAAAATCTTAGTCGGCATTTTTACGGTATCCAAAGAGGTGACATTGTGATTGCAAAAAGCCCAAGTGATCCAAAATCAAATATTTGTAAAAGAGTAATTCGGTTGGAAGGAGACAAAATTCTCACCAATAGTCCATCAGATTTCTTTAAAAGCCATAGTTATGTGCCAATGGGTCATGTTTGGTTAGAAGGTGATAATCTACAGAATTCTAGATTCCAGATACTATGGACCTATTCCATATGGACTAATAATAGGATGTATCTTCTTTAAGATTTGGCCTCTGAGTGACTTTGGATTTCTACGCGATAGCCCTAATGGCCACCAATTTTCTGATGATTAGCAAACATTTATTCTTTTGATTTGATTATTGTCTCCTGTTCAGGTGAATTTGTTATTGCCATTGAGACCATGTACTTCCTAATAAACTATTTGCTATTCAGTTTTAGTTATTTTTCACTGTTAAATGTAAAGAATAAGTGACACAATCTGCAAGCTATATTAAGTCAAAATATATGGATAAAAGTAATCTAAAATAAATCATCTACATTTTATGATACATATAAAAATATTTTTAGGGGGAAAACATGGATGACAACCTCACTTTTGAGTTTTTGGTTTTCTAGGTATAATGAAAAGCAATTTCTTCATGAATGTGCTTCATAATTTCTCTACATTTACAAGTCAGGGTAGAAACTAGCCTTACAAGTCCAAACCAACAATAAATACCAAGAGTTCAACCTAATAAAAAGCTGCTAAGTCAAAAAAAAAAAGGTTTTATTAGTTTTTTGCCATAATTGCAGTTGAAGACAGAAAGAAGTATCAATAAATGTGTAATCTAATGACTGTCATGTATATTAATGGGAAATATAGTCGCATCTAGTTTACCAACCATTTCTGACATACAAGTGCAAACTGTTTGGAGACATTTTTATAATCTAGTTTCTGTTGAGAAGTATGATATAGCACCATTTAGCTCTGCTATCACACTCATTAAGACATAATTTACACATACTTTCAATTTAATTAATCTGATAAATATGTTACTCAAGCAAACTACTTTTTTAAAGCCTTTTGGAGTAAAATGAATACTATGATCTAAACTTACTAGATCTCACTAGAATTATTTAAGTAACATATTTATTTCTAATACAAATGCTGTTTCAATCATACTTTACTTACTTCTTCACATATCTTCTAAATATATTACATAGAAACATTCAATATTCCATATGAAATATATATTTAAAATTTGTTTATACTTAAATATGGTTTAAATGCTAAATTTTATATCTACTTTTCTGCAATAAATTTTTTATTCATGGGTGAATTACGATCATTTGAATTAAGAGTAGCAATGATGAAAGATAAAGTATAAAAAACTAACATAATATAATGCACCAACGTGCCAAAACCTTTGAATTTTTGGCACGCATTTTTACATTTGTAATTTATTGATAGGTACATATTCTGGCATTTCACATCTCAGAGAGATATTTAGATATACACATAGACATAGACATAGACACACACACACACACACACACACAGAGGTAGAGGGCAAAAATCCAAAAAAGAAGAGATGTATGCACTGTTTCATCTTTTCTTATGGCAGAGTAGTATTCCATTATATATATGTACCACATCTTCTGTATCCAATCATCTTTCGAAGGACACTTTGGTTGTTTCCATGTCTTGGCCACAATGAACATCAGAGCACATACCGTATATCTTGACTGATAAATGTTTTCAGGTTTTTTGGGTTTATACCCAGGACAGGGATTTCTGGGTGACATGGTTAATTATATTATTAATTTTCTGAGGAACCTCCATAGCGGCTGGACCATCCTCACTCCCACCAACAGTGCATGAGGGTTCCTTTTTCTCCACAGCCTCTCCAACACTTATTGTCTTGTTGATTGATGATAGCCATTCTAACTGGTGTGAGGTGGTATCTCATTGTGGCTTTTAATTGCGTCTCTCTTATGATTAGTGATGTTGAGTATCTTTTCATATAACTACTTGTCATCTGTATATCCTCTTTAGGGAAATGTCTATTCAGGTCCTCTGCCCATTTTTCATTTGGATTGTTTTCTTTGTTGTTGTTGTTGAGTTGTATAAATTCCTTATATATTTTGGATATTAGCCCCTTATCAGAGGGGTTGTTTGCAAATATCTTCTCCCATTCGGTTCGTTGTCTCCTTATTTTGACAATGGTTTCTTTGCTGTGCAGAAGCTTTTTATATAGTTTGATATAGTCTCATTCACTTTAGTTTTTACTTCCCTTGCCTTTGATGTCAAATTCATAAAATCTTCTTTGAACCCAAAGTCCGTAAGTTTAGTACCTATGTTTTCTTCTATGCAGTTTATTGTTTCAGGTCTTATGTTTAGGTCTTCGATCCATTTTGAGTTAATTTGGTACACTGTGACAGATAGCAGTCTAGTTTCATTCTTTTGCATGTGGCTTTCCAGTTCTCCCAGCACTATTTATTGAAGAGGCATTCTTTTCTCCATTGTATGTTTTTGGCTACTTTGTCAAAATTATCTGTCCATATTTATGTGGGTTTATTTCTGGGTTTTCAATTCTATTCCATTGGTCTAGGTGTCTGTTTTTCTGCCAATACCATGTTGTTTTGATTATTGTTGCCCTGTAGTACAAGCTGAAGTCAGGGAGTGTGATACCTCCAGCATTATTCTTTTTTCTTAGGATTGCTTTGGCTATTCAGGGTCTTCTGTGGTTCCATATGAATCTGATGATTTTTTTGATCTATTTTTTTAAAAAATGCCATTGGAATTTTGATGGGGATTGCATTAAATCTGTATATCGCTTTGGGTAATATGGCCATTTTAACTACATTGATTCTCCCAATCCATGAACAAGGAATGTCTTTCCATTTCTTTGTGTCTTTTTCAATTTCTTTTAAAAATGTCTTATAGTTTTCACTGTAGATGAAATAGTGCCATTTGCAACAACATACATGGAACGTGAAATTATTATCCTAAGAGAAATATGTCAGACAGAAAAAGCCAAGAACCATATGACTTCACTCAAATGTGGGATATAAAACTGAAAGCAAAAAAGGAACAAGACAAACAAAGAAACAAAAACTCATAGACACAGGTAATAGTTTAGTGGTTATCAGAGAGTAAAGGGGGAGGGGAGTGGTAGGAGAGGGTAAACAGGGTCAAATATATGGTGATGGAAGGAGAACTGACTCTGGGTGGTGAACACACAATGTAATTGATGCATTACAGAACTGTACACTTGAAACCTATGCAATTTTAATAACAATTATTTCCCTAATTAATGATAAATTTTCTGTAATAACAAAGCCAAACAATTCCTGTTTCAATAGTGTTTTCCCCTATTTTCAGTTGGAAATCAAAAATTGTTTCAAAATCTCAGTAACCTTTTATGTCTGTTCCTCTTGTGTATGGTTACGAGAAAATGTTATGACTCTCACACTGGTTCTCGGAGAACTATATTGTATAAAACTGTGGGTTTCTTTTTTACCTATATAACTTTAATATAAAGTATATTACCTAAACATTCATTAGATAATCATATAATAAAGGATATCAATAAGGAAAAAGCATAAAGGTCACTGCCTCTGCAATAAATATGCAGCTTCTTTTCTACTTAGTGGTTTGTCTCTCATGTCACTTGTAATCACTCAATAAAGACTAACTCTTTATTCTTTACTGTTCATGTGTTTCCAGAAACTATCTAAACAGATGAAAATAACTGTATAGTACTGTCAAAATATAGCACATGCAGAGAATACTAATTTCACATCTCAAAGTAATCAATTTTATGACAGTCACTAGTAAAAATTAGAACAAAAAAATTAGAATCATTTTGTATTAAGAATCCATAAGTATGATATGCCAAATTTATCTCTAGACATCTTGGTAATTAAGAACTACAAAATTCTACAAATATTTTCTTCTATCCTTAGAAATGTAAAAAAACCCACTACTTTGAATAGACCTAATTATTGATAATATTAGGCAGAATACCTTCCCTAATTAAGATCGTCTGTCTATGTGAGACAGAACAAGAGACAGACTAGGCTTTGAGAAGAAAATGGAACCAGGTGCTTTTCTTTTGTTATTTAACATCACTGACCATTCAAGGTCTTCCTCCTAATAACTAAAAGAAAAAAAAAATAAAGAGTTTTGTTGTTTCCAAGTTGCAGAAATTATGATCTATCCCTCAAATATCCATTTCCATTTCTCTCTCAAATTCACAGGGCCCTAATTTATTAGCTGGGCACACTACCACCTAGGTAAAGATTGTTTCTCTTCCAGTGGGTGTAGCCATATGACTAAGCCAATGAGGTGTAAGTGGTAGTAAAATGTGGGACTTCCAGAAATTCTCCTTTAAAAGAAAAGGAACAAACTACTTCTGACAAGACTGCCTTTTATTGAGAGCTTACTATGAAACTGGCACCATGCATAGTCTTATGTAGTCATCATTTGAAAGTAAGCTATCAATAAAGCCTACTATCAAGTTAGGAACTACTATTGGGTTGTTGGAAAAGTCATGACATATTTTTTCTATGTTTTTTGTTGCAAACATGTGTCATGACTTTTCCGACAACCCAGTATTACTATTTTAAACATAGGAATTAGATTAACCTGTGCAAGGTTTCACATTAAATAAATGGTAAATCTGGGATTTGAACTCAGATCTGTGTAACTCTAAAGTCCATACCATTAACCACCATGTTATAATTTCACTGAAAATTCTTAAAGTTCTTCATTCTTTTATAGCATGGGAGAAATTGAATTTTATGTCACTCTTGTGGATGCAGGCAATGGGATTATCAATTCGCTTCATTTTGAAACCTAGAATAATTTCAGAGGGCATTGAAAAGCCTAGAAGAAGCTACAGGAGCCTTGGTGTGTTGGCTAAATTTTTGAACTAATTTTTAGTTATCTTAGGTACACAGAACCCAGCATTTGAGTTTCACAAGACAAATAACAAAGTATAAGATTTACTTGCAAAAGCCCTGAAGAAAAACAATGTCATGTTTCTCACTCTAGTAATTAAGAGTCAAAACATACCCAGTATTCTGACATATCTCCTGAAGATTTAGTTGCGGAATGACTATAACATATTTACTTTTTCTAAAACAACCAAACTGCTAACTATTATACAACTAGCTACCATATTTTTTTAAAAACAAAGAAAACTAATGTCTCGAGAAGCAAGTTAATTAAAATCAGATAAAAAAAATTTCTGAAGATCATACCTTCAATACTTGGCTGCGTTTCTTCTGTTTTCGGAACAAAAATTCTGATTACACTAGTGTTGATATAAATCAAAGGTAAATTGCGTGAAGTCAGTGTATGAGTCCTCATGGGCTGACCAGGAGATTTCCTTTTTTCTTTTTGGGTCCTTGGTAATTTTGCTTGAAATATACTTACAATGGCATTAAGTAAAGGAAAACAAAGGACAATATCAAAAGCTTGTGCTGAAAGAAGAATTTCATGAAGAAAATGAGGGGAACCATCCGTTAAATTTTCTGATAACTTATGAAAACATCTTCGCTCATTTCTTGATATTAACTTGTGACGGACATTTTTTGTTACAGCTTTTGTATATGTCAAAGAGAGAAATCCATGCTGCTGATGAGAGCCATCTAGAAGCTTTGCAGTTGTCTGTTCCAGAAAAAGGAAATCACAATACATATTTCATTAAAAAAACTTTTTGAAAGCAGAAAATGATCTCTTTTATTATAGCTATACCTCTTAATGAGTACATTATTTTGATAACTAAATTAATCAATTAATGCATGTTTACTGGAAATAATAACATGACAAAAATAAAACATTTGTTCTTTAGAACTTGTCTATTTTCAGTGGCTATCATACTGTTTACAAAACATAACTATCAGCTCTTCTATACCTCTTATTCCTTTGGTTTAATACTCTATTAATATACATACAACAGTTGATTGAGAGTGAAAATTATGTCATTGTAACTTCAATATTTTCAACAAAATTTTTCCAGTTTACTTTCATATTCATATTGCACCCTGAACAAATCATAGTAAAACAGCATACTTTTAGAGTAAAGTAAAATACATACTTTGTATTTCTCAACATTTGAAAAAAATAGCTCTTCAAAAAGCTGTTTCGAACCAACTAATGTACATAAAATCCTATTTTGCAAATTACTCAATGTAAAATTATTTACTTCACATTCCTAACCTGTCTTCTCAAGGCTTGAAAAAGTTTTTTAGTTATTAGGGTCCAAAGAGTAATGTTAAGAAAAGAGGTGAACTAAGAAGAAGAAAGAGGAGGGAAAACATTCACCTAAACAGGAAAAAAATTGAGAAGTAGCAAAACAGTAATATGTCTGAGCCTATGTTATCCCATCACTAGTAAACCTTTTTGCTTCCATTTTTCTCCTCTCATGTTGTTGCCTATCACTCATGACATGGTGAGAGAACAAAAAGTATGCAATTCAGCTACCACTGTTCATTTTGTTTTTAATCTGGACTGTAAAATGAAGAAAGGTAAGATAAAATTTGCCTTTGTACATGTTCTTTTTTTAAAGTTAATTTCTGACCATCAAAATGACTTGGAAAGAGGGCATTCAACGGATGTGCATAATAATTTTTCATGTAACTAGCCTGTCTCAGAGAATTTTTTTACTCTTCCCAACTTTATCACTGCCCCCTGTCTAATTCCCATTTCCATTTGCTTTCTACATTCAAAACAAAAAGAAACACAGGAAAGAAGAAAAAGTACTATCAATCTTATCATCATGTTGCTGGACAGCAGGCAACAGTGGGTGGAGAAGGGTGGTTGTGGTATGGCCGCAATGGAAGAGGCCACAGACACACTGTCTCTCTCTAGGTATCCAAACTAGACTTCGGAGAGGAGTAGAATCAACCACTAATCTAAATAACCCAACTCAAATTTTCATTAATGCCTACATTTGAATCCTGGCAAGCGTATAAAGGGTGTTTCAATGTATAAATGTTTTGATTTGGAAAAAATATTTTTAAACATATTGAATGTAGATGCTCTTAAAAGGTAAACTCCCGTGATAGAAAGTTTGTCTGCTGAACTACTGCATCCCTGACTTCCTTAATATAAGAGGGGAAAAACATGAAAAAATAAATGAATACTATCTAGATTAGAATTATATAAATATTATTTTTCATACAGTAATAATCAATATTTTATACTATTTGAGGTGAAAAGTTAGAAAACACTAATAATTAAGAAAATGTTAATAAAATACAATTAGTAAGACTGATAAAGGAAAAATTTAAAGGATATTAATAATAATTTTAGTTTTTTCATGAATACGTGTTAAAATTATTAAGAATGTTCTAATGGACACTAGTGAACATTCAAAGAGAAAAAAATAAATCTGAACAGAACTTCCACTGATATAAAAGCCACCTTAACAGGCATCTTTTTCCAGACTAGGCTAGAAAAAATTCAAAACTCAGAAACTAGCATTTGCTGGGCAGATATAATACTAAACAGTAAATCTAGAATACAATACTTAGCTAATTTTTATAACGCTTAAGATATATGTCTTAAATTCCTTCTGAGCTACAAAAAAGGGGAAATAGGTAGTTTACACATGCTAAGAAAATATCTAATAATGATTGCAATGATTTGATAAATTCTTAAGAGAATTACTATTACCATTGTCATAATCTGTTCTTAATATTTTTAAATTACATGCATTTTTATTGACTTAAAAATACCATAAAATAATTAGGCTAATAATATATTCAGACATATTGTACCATGAGAAAAAACAAGGTTCCAAACTTCTAAAAGCCACTGGTGTACAGTCTAGTGTTCGTTTTCTATCCAGTCAATAATAGTCATGCAGCCTTGTCCAGATTCAAGAAAGCACCAAATAAGATACTTGGATTTAGTTGTGAAAAGGAAATGGCATAGTAATAGGGAAGAAAAAGTAATCTAAGTAAGATTCATAAAAGGAATGATAAAAGCAGTATGGTCAACTCTTGATCATTCAACACATGCATAATTTTAAGAACATATTTAACATCCGACTTTGATTTTTTTATGCTGATGGTAAAATTAGTTTGTATTCAGAAAACCAGAGTAACAAATAACATATGCAAGTAACACAGAAACAAGTCAGATTACAGTGGAAAACCAGTCTATGATTTAAAATTCATTATAGTTCATTTACAAAGTAGATGGTACAGAGGAAGATGAAAATCAAGAGTTGACTCTATGGATAGTTTAATTCCTTCTCTGGGTTCCTGTTAATGGGAGTGCTGTAGCATAATTTAAAAATGATTTCTTACAGAAGGAAAGAAGCCAGAGCAATTACTGAAAGGGTCCTGCTTGCTGATGGGTCGAACCAACAAGGTGCGTCTGTTCAGCTTGTCAGTACAGGAAAGGAAGACACCTCCACATTGCCCCAGAGACCAACAGTCTTCCCCAAGACTTGAGATGATGGACAGGAGCAAAGAAAGTGAAAAGACAAAAAGTAATAAAAAAAGCCATAAGCAAAAAAATTTAGAAAGTTTTAATTCTGCTCAACTTTGCATAGGTTTAGGTTTGAGCCACTACTAGGTACGGCCTTTGTCTGGATCATTTTCTGCAAAAGCATTGTTAATGGAAGTAAACAAAAATTATTCTTAGTGTAATATTACTACCTTTAGTTAATGATAAAGGACAATCCACATGACTCACCAATGAATGGGGAAAACTTCTAAAAAGCCAACATAATAATACATTAATGACAAACTATATTAACAAAAGCATCCTACCTTTGACCTTTTGAAAAATTTACTTAATTGTTATATAGGAAAATGGTTACAAAACACGAGCAGCTTAAAGAAATGAAGTTTCATTTTATAAGGTAATTTTGGAAGAATAGGTCAAAAAATTTACTCTGAGCTCTAATTCTTGTAGCCATTAGTCCTATTGCATGAAACAACAAAAATAAACAGTTTATATTTTTAAGAAATCAGAATTACTAAATGAGTCTCACCACAGGTTTTTCTTTGCATTGCAGAAATACTCCTTCAAAATGTCCTGACTGCCAACCTTCCCCTGGCCTGGAAAACATAAGTTCACCTTATCTGTTCTCTTCAATTATTCTGAGTTAGAAAATTGAGCATATATAACTATTTCAAATAGTTATTATGTAAACAATGCTACACTGAATTAAAATGTTGATCTGACAATGCAATCAACAGAACAATTTACATCAGCATCATACCCTGGTAGTTCTGCACAGAAGCATTTGTCTTAATAATAAATTGTATATTTATTTGGTTGGTTACAATATTTCTTTCTCACCCATGAGAGTATGAGGTCTATAAGGGCATGATTTATGTCTATTTTGTTAAACAGTGTATCCCCACTTCCTAGTGTGGTGCTTCACACAGAATACATACTCAATATTTTCATTAACTGAAAGGATAAATAAATTATCTAAATATTTAAAACTTCCATAAATTCAAAAGTAAAGTCATTGATCTAGAACATAGGCTTTAATATTCACATCATCAAGAAATTACTTTAACTGTGATATTCATGTATCACTTGCAAGGATCATTTTGATATAAAGATATACCCTTCGAAAGAGACTAAAGAGCTAAACAATCCATCATCAAATATCAATTGATTCACTGTCAATACAATAAAAACAATTATCATATGTTTGGTAAAACATTATTACAACAGGTCTTAATATATATCCAGCAAAATATTTTTTCCTCAAGAATCCAGCAAAATATATATTTTTAATTTATTTTGTATTATTATTAGTTTCAGATGTACAAAACAATACAATTATCCTTTTCTCCCCTCACAAAGTAATAATCCCTCTCCCCCCATCCACTGCCCTCCCACCCCCGATATCATACTTATCTATTACAATTCCATTGACTCCATTCCCACACTCTACTCCACATCCCGTGACTATATGTACATATAATTATAATTGACATGCAATATCATTCAACATCAGCCTCAGAAATACAGTGCAGTGGTCAGGCCTCTACACCATCTATGAAGTGGTCTCCCTAACAAGACATGAGTCCACTTCACTCCGGTCAGAATGGCTATCATCAATAAATCAACAAAAACAAACGCTGGCGAGGCTGTGGGGAAAAGGGAACTCTGGTGCACTGTTGGTGGAACTGCAGACTGGTGCAGCCACTATGGAAATCAGTATGGAGGTATCTCAAAAAACTGGAAATGGAACTACCTCATGACCCAGCAATTCCACTCTTAGGTATTTATCCAGAAAAACCCAAGCCAGCAAAATATTTTGAATTTCACAGTTATGACACAATTTTTCAACTGTGACCAATTTTGATAATTATTGACATAAAAACTGAAATGTTTTTAATGTAGAATTAGGAACCTATTAAACAAAAAAGACTGTTTTTAGGGTACACTGCATCAGTAAGATACAGAAACACATGTGCTTCAACAGGCTCTCAGCATATAATTGTTTAATGAATATTATGAATCCAGAAAAAAAAAATGGGTTTTAAGCTCTTGCTATGCTAAAATACTATGAAACTGAAAACATGGTGCTGCTTAAAAAACAACTTTATAAAAGCATGTGTGAGTTTTATGGTATGTGAATTATATTTCAATTTAAAAAAAAACCCAGAAAAACTCCAGGTTAGTATTATATAAAGCAAACAAACAAAAAACCCCACCCCCAAAAACCTTCGGATTTTTATTTGTAAAAAAATGACAAAATTGCTATACAGCTTTGTGAAAATATCTAAAAGTTACATTTTATTACCATTATTTATCATTATAAACAAATTATCTTTGCTTATAATCATACTTTTGATAGAAACTTAGTAGGGAACGAAAAATATGGTTCTAGGAATATCCGCCACATGTATTTTAATAATCTGTAAGATGAGTGTCCAGCGCAAAGGCACATGAGGTGTTGCTGCATGTAACCTATGTTCTATTATTGTCGGGAGTGGATGGCAAGGATACAGCAAAAACCACAGCCATCACCTGTGTCCCAGACATTTTAGTAAACATACAACATACGCAGACAAACGTGTGAGATGATTAGTAAAAGCAGCTTATGTCAATTAATACAGCAATGTGGCTATTTATGAACAGATCATCATTTTATAAAACAAAACTTCATTATATTCCACATACAAATGAATACCAAGTAAAATTAACCAATTTATCTGTTAAGAGCCTTCTTTGGGAATAAGTATAGTATTTAAAAAAATAACTAAACAATATTAATATAAAAATTCTTATATAGATTTTGTTCAAAGAAAATATAACCTTTCTTATATATTCATTATTTACCTGCTTCTATAGTGATCAATATTGAAACTTTCTATTTTACATTTCACTTTGGTATATACATCCTGGACATCTATGGAAGCACTGAGGTCTTCTAGTTCACTGACCATACAAAGCTCTGCAATAAGAGGCAAACATTAATATCAATATAGGCACAACAATCAATGACATAAATATTCTTGATACTACAGAGAGACTGAGACTTTCTGTTTAGTCATCACACAAGATTCTAGAATAATAAGCAAAATTAATATCAATATAGGCTTCACAATTAAGATAGGATACCTATTTCAAGACAGGGGAGATCCCAGTTAATGTTTGAAGTGTATATCTGATACAGGTCAACGATCTTTGCAATTTTAGTGACAAAGATATATATAACACATCAATATGACCAAGGAGAAATTACCTCATCATGGCTTTTAGGGTGAATTTTAATATAAACAAGACAAAATTTAGGTATTACATTCAATATGTTAGTATTGCTAATAGATATTACTTGAATTAGATCTAATGATGTTTATTTAATTGGAATGACAGTGATAAATAAACCGAAATCTATTATTTCTTCTAAAAATAGTGTTCAATATTTTATCTTTTCAGTACAGAAGAAAAGGATTCCTGTACCTGTGCCTTTATTTTCAGGATCTGGAGCAAAGAGCTTGATAGTAATTTTGGGGAGCACCCACTGCATCCACAGACTAACACGTCCACTAGATCCACCAATGTTACTTGTGGTTTGTTCCAAGGTAACAGAATCTGAGAATGGAGAATCATCACCAGCTTGTACAGAATCTCCCTGCATTGAGAAAAAAACAACAACATTTTGTAACTTAAAGAAATATAACTAAAAAAGTATAATTTAAAATCTTTACTTACAACTTTTCCATATTATATGCAAATGCTAACCATATCAATGCTTACACTAATACATAATGCTAATAATATAAATATATACTAATCAACACATGGAAGCATGTTCATTTGTTTAAAATATCGGTATACATATTTAAATGTTAGTTAAGTACTTAAGCTAGTCTGGTAGGCGACATGATGTATTAGGTTAGTGTTTATTATTGGAATACTTCGGCACCAAGCACAGTAAAGCAATAGTGTCCTTTGATTTACTGTGACAGAGAATTATAGACTTAAACCTGCACAGTATACTCATTCCTTGATCCAATAACACTAAGCAAAGCAAACAGTTCACTGTTTGTGATGTTTTATATAAATGCTTCTCCAAAACAAGTGGTCCCAAATCTGCTATAATTGAAATTTCTAGAATTTGAGAAGCTATACAAAAATTCAAGTTTTTGGTATGCTGTTTAAAGTAACACAATATCTAATGAAAAGCACAAGCTAATTCCCAAAAAGGATGCATTTTACAAAGTCAAATTCAATAAAAGACGACATGAATGTAGTCAGTATGCCTTTCTTTAAGGATAGGTTCTGAGAGCAGAAACATTCATAAATTAATTCTCCTTCAAACAAAATATCATAATCACTAGAATGGAAACTGCAGAGAAAACAGCATCTCAACTCAATGATATCTTGATTTTTAACACTTTAGGTATATGCAGTGGGAATACTAAGAAAGCTGTGATTTCAGATTTAATCAGTAAGCACTCCTGAGAAAAAGTGTTGCTCTCTTTCCTCACACAGTTTCAATTTTCATTTTGGATTTACAACATTTGATGTGGTATTGTTAAATATGTTTATGCATTAATTTTCTGCTCTATTTCCAATTCTATAGCAAAAATTGAGCCAGAATTGGAGATGCTGAACTATTTTCCCACACCTCTTTATGCCAAGCTCTAAAATATACAGTTTAATTCTTTCACCATTTTGTTGCAAATTGACCAAAATACTGAGTTTATTTTCCTAGCTGAATTTATCTTTGTTCATCTGGAAGAGCAAACACTTCAGCCCTTCATCCTTGGCCTGCTTCAGAGCTCAGGGATGATCATAGTTTTGGCCACGTTGCTATTCTCCCTTATCAAAATAACTCCAGAGTTCTTGTTCAATCACGAAACTTCCCAAAGGGCTAAACACTTTCACCACTGTTTGTACTTAAGTCAACAGTAACAAGTGGCCTGCTGTGGTTTCCACTACCTTTGCTCTCAGTATTTCAATGCAACAGTGGGAAAAATGATTAACTGTTTTTAAGCTCAGTACTTAAGCTTCTCACTCATATTTCCCCTGTACACCACCCAGATGGATATTCAGGAAGCTAGACCTATATTCACTGAAAATTATGGTGCTCGCTATCAACATGTCAACATGAAAAGCATTACTCATAGTTTAAAGTATAAATCATCCTAGGATCATATAAACAAATACTTCTCTTCTACTTAATACAAACAATTGTTAAGAGTGTGCTTTTTAAAACTAGGTTCATTTATAGTAAATTTTTTAGAGACAAAATAATTTAAAAATAGTAGTTTTGATCTAATTAATTCTACAAGAAAAACAATATTTTAAATAGTAAATATTTTAACATTTTTATGAACTTTGTAAATGTAAGTATTAATTAGAAATTTAAAAAATTCAAAACTGTAAATTCAAAGTGGTCCTCCGATACAGAATTTAATAAATGAACACTACAAATGTAAGGTGACTTCAGATTAATAGATTGTATTTATAAAACTATTTGAATCTTAAAAAACAAAAACAAGTAGGCCAATAACTGAGAAACTAGAGACATTTTTGATATAATTATTTAGAAATAGGAAAAACATTACAAAAAAAATATTTTGTTGAATGATATGAAAAGGCTAAACAGTAACCTTCATTTATCTAATCTGCTTTATATATTATTTTTGTTCTTTCAATGGCTATTCAATTGATTAGATGATAACATAAATGTTAAGATTTCCATATTTTGAATAAAAATTTCTCACTGTTAAAGACAAATATTAAATGAAATAAATCCATATTCAGAAGAAGATTTAGAATTAATATGAAACATTCTTAAAATACCAATTTAGTAAGAAGTTCAAACTAAATGTAGTTTCTAAAGGGTTGTTTGGAATAATTTGAGGTGCATTACCGCGTAGGTTAACTGTACTTTAATAACTGAACAACTGACAACAGTTTTGCTATAGCAGTTGATGTCAAACAACTGCTCAGTCCAACGTCCACTTCTTGAAATTGATATATAATTGATATATAACATTATATTTATTTCTGATGTTAACATAATGATTCAATATTTGTATATATGGTCATATGATGACCACAATAAATCTAGTTAACATCCATCACCACACAGTTACAAATTACTTTTTCTTGTGATGAGAAGTTTTAAAGTCTACTTCCATAGTCACTTTCAAATATACAGTCAAGTATTGTTAAACTATAGTCACCATGCTGTACATTACACCCCAGAACTTATTTATAACTGGAAGTTTTTGTACCTTTTGCTCACTTTCATTCATTCTGTCCCCACCCATATTCACTTTTAATTTAACTGAAAATAAATGCATTTTAAACAACTACTGGACACTAAGAAATGAACCACTTTCTGTTGAATTTTTTTAACTGAAGTTTATTGGGGTGACAGTTGTTAGTGAAGTTACATAGGTTTCGGGTGTACAATTCTGTAATACATCATCTATGTATCACATTGTGCGTGCACCACCCAGTTCTTCCATCACCATATATTTGATCCCTTTTACTGAATTTTTTGAGAAGTGGAATGCTAAAAGCAATTTTAATTCCTAAATCAATAAAGCATGCAAGTCAAATTTTGTCATGAACCTACACTTCCACACATTGGAAGTTAATCTGTCAATTCTTACTTTAGGTTAAGTTGAAAATCAATATTCTAGCATTCACTCAATGTTTTAGATTTTTCTAAAGTTTTAAAATTATTTCTTATACCCGTGCTGTGAATGAAGATGGCATGTCAAAGATATTATTCATACATACAAGAAAGCAAAAATGAAAAAAACTGGGAATGGTTTGCCTAAAATCACAACTAAGTTGGAGGAATTGAATTTCATCAACACAATATAGCCATCCATAATAACTGTCTTTTCTATATTGTATTTAAGGAAACTACTGAAAATGCAGTATCATTTTGTAATTAGAACAGTTTCTAAAAGACTTCTGGTTTATAAATTTATCCTGTAAAATCAAGTATGTGAGGGCCGGCCAAGTGGCTGCGGTGGGCTGGCTTGGGACGCCAGAGAGCCCTGGTTCGGATCCCACATATGAGGGCCAGTGACACTGCCCTCCACAGCTAAGATGCTGAACAACAGCTCAACCTGGAGCTGGGCTGCCATGAGTTG